AAAACAATTTCACTATAACTTACCTTATGGAGAATACTAATTAAGTTTACTCGAGAGAAATGGACGGGGACGTTTTTCGGATTCGATAAATAATGCATATAGTACAAGTATAACAACTACGATAGCCGTAACAATTTTTCTTTAATTTTCGGCTGGGTTTCCTAGATATCTGGGGTATCAATGCGAGCGTTACCGGTAATTTATTGTCATTGTTCGTAGCGCCGCTCACGCTTTGTCAGGATTCAGAGCCCATCAAAGCTACTGAGACAGCGAACGCACCAACTATCTAACCCAGCGAGACCACTTCCCTGGCGACTGTCATTCAACAGGGTCATCCGCCCTTCCACCTTACACCAACCCTAGAGGATGTCATCACAGCCACAATTCCCCGATCCGGATAACAACTTACACTCCAGTGTGCCACATCATCTGCGAGCATGTAAAACCTAACGGTATTAGCGGGAAGAGGCAGACCTCTGGGATCATCTGAACGGCAAATGGTGCGTTTCCGGAATCCGTTCGGCAGCAGATTTCGCTTTCCCGTGTTCTTGTTTGAGGCTCACTGTACGGAAACTTGTGCGATCGCTATGGAATTCAGCTAGAACGACCGTACCGGTTTCCATTTTATCGATGAATCCAGGATCCGTGACCCTGGTCCCTATCAAAGTGGACGACATGACCACTGCTCGTCAAGACAGTTAAGCAAAGAAAGTTGGCGGACCCCACCAACTGCAAGCAAAGATGCAGTCCTGGGAACGACAGATAAAGTTTACAAATGTGATAAAATATATCCTGGGCCAAGCGTCGTTTATTTTTCTTGCAATCATGGGGACTTCCCAGCGAGCATTTGAGCGACCCGTTATCTTCTTTTTCCAACAGCATGTGATTGTCATTTACTTATTACGCTCGTCTAGTTTCATGCTCCAGCTGGATGCCCTTTTCAAGGGGCTGGCGTTTAACTCATTTATGGCTTTTATGTTGTGTACAGATATTTATTATATTATGCTGCTTATTACAACATATACAAGAGGCGAATTCGAATCAGTATTAGCTTTCCTTGTACTGCTGATGCTTGTCAGCCGGTGGTATGCGCTTGGCTTAACATACACTTTATGTAAAGCGTCATTATTAAGACTGCGTGGTATCGACAACGCTTGTGGTATTGTATTAACCGCATCCTACCTTGTGCCTTGTAATTATCAGTACGTACTTTGTATGAAACGCTGTATTGGCACAACGTAAACCATCAGCTGGCTGGCACAGCAGTAAAAGTAAACGGTGTTACCGGTTTGCTGTTAACTACTGTACATCGAACGAACAGTTCGCAAGGCCGAATCGGATGTCATTAATTTCCTAATTTCGGCGGAATGGCTGCGCACACAATCCGGTTCTCATACGGTAGTCCATTTGTACAGTCCAGCAGAATTTAAGAATCGAATGATTATACTGTAAGGAACGGCAGCGCACACGGGAAGGAAAAAAATTAATTTCATACTGGCAATGGCTATGTAAATAACCTGGTTGGTTGTTGGTATTCTTACTATTCTACAAAATTCTACATGTGCAGCCGACAAGAATATTTGACGGGCGACAATGCTCACGAATGAAATCATACCTGTAACGTAGAAATGTTTTAGGTAGTCCAATGGAAAATGTACCTCAAGAAATAACGTGATATATTTCTCGTACTATTGTATTAATTTAAAAGCCCACAAGTGTTTATGGTGAAGTTGTTCTGCTAGCAAATTGCTTTAGTACTGAAGATGATCTTGGTGCCGTCAGTCGGTTAGAGTAGGATGTGACGGCTTGCACTATGTCCGGCACGGCTCCCGACTACATACTTTGTTCCGCATGTAACGGGAGCAAATCGTCAACTCAATATTGTCAGAAATAATCAATCATGCGAGTCTCAACATGCGAAACAAATTTTCTAAAACACTGCAGGTTGTGCAACCAGTCGCATACTTCTTATGTGTAGATATGACGTGTACCCTTTTGTTCTCAGAACTGTGATTATCCCCAGCATGACATCTCGGAACAAATATGTTAAGGGAAGTCACTCCTTATATAGCATTAAATAAGTGTACATCCACGGCTCACGGGAACTATAAATTTCGCGCACTCACAAATACTTTTTCGGATGGCTTTCTAAGTTGCAACATTCCAAATAATTCCAAATTTCGATATGGAACGGATACAAATTATGTGGCTGTGCAAAGTCAAAACGCAATCCAAAACAGCGTTCGAGATCCGCCAAAGCGAAAGTTCCCGCGGATACACATGAATCCAGTGATAGGTATTGAGTCACTTTGCTTGAGCTGAGGTAAATTAATGCGATCTTTTACAAACTACTTTTACTAACGTGGTAGACTACAGGTCATGCTGATACTCAACTAAATAATTCCAGGGCCGTTAGCACTCGCACTCGTCTATCTTTTAATTACACGGAGTTTTCTTGTGTGCCGCGCAGGCGCAGGCCATGGGTTCGTCGCAATCTGGTGTAGAACGGTCTGATATTCATGAAAAAATGTTTTCTACACTTTGTTCTTCCTTTTCATTAAGCACTCAAGTAGAAAGAGTTGGTTTTCAATCGGTAAACCGAATCTGAAGAGAAGTGAGGACTTCGCAAAAAAATTCACAGCAGAGCCAAATCACGCTGCCACACTGGGAGCTTGCCATTTGTACACAAACCGGAAGCGGTTGGAATTCGTAGTTTTTAAGTTTTCATTTTCATTTATTTTTACTAACTGTTTCAATAAGTGAAAAGCAAACAAATTTTCTGAGGAATTCAGGTTAGATAGGAAGAACTCAGCTGCTAGTGTAACGTTCCATGAATTTTTGAATGATTAAATGTGCCTCTCAGGCACATGGACGAGGGCGAGTGTTAATTGCACCTGTAAGACATACTTTTTCATGTTTTCTAGAAAAAAATGGTAAATTAAGAAGAACTTGTTTAGGCAAACTTTCGTTTAGAAGGAGAGCGCAATAAACGCGTTTTTGTGCCGATATTGATTTTGACATCGATGGTATTTGGGGCCGAATGTTAATTCCTCCGCGCACTGGATTTGATATCAAATTACTTTTATAATTTAGTGCTTTTTTCACGCAGCCCTTTTGATCTTATTTTTGGGAACTCTGTATATCCTTAGTTATGTTCTTTTCACTTCTGTCAGCGTATCGTATGTTATTTTATTTTACATTCTTTATGCTAATGAAAGCCTACAACACAGACTTCGGGCTTTAAATACATACACCGTGCTGAAGCTTTGTTGTATCCTTTTGTTCCGTTGTCAATTTTTTGTGTAGAACTGGTTCCGTGGTTCGTCGTACAGAAACCATGAATTCATTATCCTACTGGAAAACACCAAATGTTTTACAAAAAAACGGGAGTTTGCAAATTATGTTTTGGTTTCTGATAGATGTTGTTATTGTACTGTAACCGCTAGATGAAATGGCACCACAGAGTCTGGTGTACGCAAAACAGCGCACACACTGCTGTTAACTTTTGCGCTATCCGGCAGGGGGCAGGCAGCGGTCGGATCTAAAAGTGGTGCCATTTCATCTAGCGGCTACAGTACCAATCACTCCTATTTCAACGGTTAACACTAATGCAGGCGATAAATTCATTTGATTGGAATTGCCGGTTGGTAACAAAAACCGCATATAGGCGATAACGAGCATTTCGCGCGAAGAAAGAACAGGAACATTTTGCTGGCTAGCCACCAAAAAAGTGCTCTAGCGGCTAGGCCAAGTTTCACCACAAAGTTCTGTACCGAAAAATAGGACTGCAGGGTGTGTATTATCGGGGCTGGAAGTGCTATTGTTCCCGTACATGCACTCTCTAGTCTAAATTAATCGAGTCTAATCTCTAGTCTAAATTAAATTAATCTAAATTAATCAAATCCTGCGCTCTACTGGCAGATGATGTAAGAATGGGTGTGGTCAAAGAAATACGACCACACACGGCGCATGCTGCATCCGTTCAGCTTCCAGTCAATGTCGTTCTTGCCAGGCACGTACCAATCCGACCAACCATTGGACCATTGAATTCTGAAGGCGGCAATCTTCCCATATAAGATCTGTACGTCAATGTCAGCGTTGAGACTGGCTTTCCAGCGGGCATCATTGGTGGCTGGCTCGCTATCCACATACCGACAGGTGTTCTGTGTAGTCAGGTCGTAAACGACACACTCCTCGTCACTGCATTGACCCGCTGGGGCAGTCCACGATCCAGCCGGATTCTGCGATGCCGGGCAACCACCACCTTGGGCGCAACGGTATCCTGCCAAAAACAGCACAAAGATCAGTGTACAACGCATTTGTACGGTAAGCTGTGTGGGCAAATATCAGAGGTCAAAAATCTTCGAGTAACAGTACAACTACAAGCTCAAAGCAGTATGACTGCTTTGTTAGACGAAGGTGAAATACTACAGGTTCATTGAACATAGTCAAACAGTAATAATACGGTACTTCATCTGTCTGCGTTGTTGTTCGTCGTTGCGAACGCATATTTATGGTTTTGCACTTTTATGATTTAGTATTAAACAGCACTTAACATTAAAAAGGCTCGATGACCGAATACAGCACCCAGATGACTGCGCGCTTGTGCTGCGCTGTTTGCCACTTTACACCGCGGTACATTCAGATGCAAGAAAAACATTCTGACCGTCTCGGTCATAAAAAACTGACCGAGATTTGATTGCGCTAGATATCATTAAGCCTGGAACAAAGCACGCAAATAAAGTAATACCGTAATTTTGCGATCGTTGACAACAATATCCTGCACTTGGAATCGAAGAATTCAGCAGAGACGGTTCTGGGCGTTCAAAAAATGGAGTTTATTTCCGTCCGTTAGCCAACCACCAATCAATGAAGTAGCACACGGCATAAGTTCATGGTGGTACCGCATAGTTTTTGAATTTAGCACAACAGACCGAAACAGCAATAAAAATGGCATTCATCTATAAAAAAAACAAAGCATGTTTACAGTTTGATGGCGGTGGTTTCGCAATATATCTGAACGAAAACGCGTTGTGTGTACAGTTAGTTGTACTGACGTTCGTAGCAATTTGATTTCTGGTAATTTGACGATAAGATGCGTGGTACATTTATATTTGTACTGTGTTTGGCAGGGTACCGCTGCGCCCAAGGCGGTGGCTGTCCGGGATCTCAGAATCCCGCTGGATCGTGGACGGCTCCAGCAGGCCAATGCAACGACGAGGAGTGCGTGGTTTACGACCTGACCTCGCAGAACACGTGCCGGTATGTGGACAGCGAACCAGCCACCAATGATGCCCGCTGGAAAGCTAGCCTTAATGCGGACGTGGATGTGCAGATCCTCCAGGGAAAGATTGCCGCCTACAAACTGCAGTGGTTTAGCGGTCAATGGTCGGACTGGTACGTGCCCGGCAAGAACGATATCGACACAAAGCTGAATGGCTGCAGCATGCGCCGTCCGTGGTCGTACTTTTTCGACCACACGCATTCCTATATTATTTGCCAGTGATCGATATTTTCGGATTTTGTTTCGTCCTTACGTGGGCGGATAATTCTTAAAATAATTAACTGTTTTGTGCCGCCTACATTTTCAGAGTAAAAAACGGTTTCATGAGTTTGCGTTATTAGTATTTTTGCTGTTTGGTATATGTACTGTACCCGCACCGCTCGTATCGTAATTATGTATTCAAAGGGTACTCTATACGTGACTGCGCGGTCCAATAACTTTTCTGAGCTAAACCGCTATCTATGATATCTGTAGGCAGTACTAGGCACGATGCCACGATTGTACGGCTATTCGCGGCTTAGTTAATTTAACTTAATTATAATCAGTACTAATATGCGCATTTCATCTAATCATAGTCACACGTCTCTAAGTCTCCCAACTTAATGCAAAAAGAAGGTTCTCTATTAAACCATAAGTTCTCTATATATTCTAATTACAATACAAAACTACTCTGTAGTTTACTCGAGTTCATCGTACTATGTAGCATCGTAAATTTAATTTTCCAGGCGGATTTTTGGAGCAGTACGAAAGCCCATCCAAGCCCCACTTTTTCTCTTTTGTGTATCACGGCAAGCTTTTGGTGAAATTTGTCCGATATGTTTTTTTTTGTTGATTACTCCACAATACAAAATATATAGTGCGGGCCACTCACACTCCCGGTTCGATTTGCACGCAGTCCATGGCTAGCTGTGGTTTCCAGATTGCCATTTTCACTATTTTGTTGAAAATTCTTTTGTACTCTGATTTTTGCATTTAGACTGTCACATACTTGCTGAATCTGTTGCGTCAGAATATTACGCTTTGCCTGCTTCAAATTGTGCATGAGCTGCTGGGCCAAGGTCAAAAAGAGGAAGAAATAAATAAAGGAAGGAAACTTTTTTGGTCAAAAAGAGGAAGGAATTTTTAAAGGAAGGAAATTTCGTGGTCAAAAAGAGGAAGGAATTTTGAAAGGAAGGAAATTTTTGGGTCGAAAAGAGGAAGGAAATTTCGATGGGCAAAAAAGGATGGTTAGAAAAAGGAAAGAAATTTGTGTGCGGTGAAAAAATAGGAAGCAGAAATCGCACAGAGTTTTTGAAATGTTCTTATGTGACTGTATGCGGACTGCCGGTTTACTGCATTTTGCAGAAATGCAGCAAAGAACACTGTATGCGGACTGCCGGTTTACTGCATTTTGCAGAAATGCTACTGGGCAGGGCGGTCCGACTGGGCAGCCCACATTCAAAAAATTAAATTCGGCTCGACATTACCATTCCCCATTTACAATATAATATAATGGAAGTTTATTGTCCTTTGCACGGAGCATTAGCCCCCTGTAAATTACACAACAGAGAAAACGTCTGCACCGTTTTGGCGGGAGGCTTTATGATTTGATAGTATCCGAGTATGCGTTCGTGTAATGATACGTGACTTATCAGTTGATGTAAGGCGTCTGCTTTTTCTACAGAATGCAATGAAATCTCAGTGGTAGACTGGGTAAGAAAGTTTGCACATGTTGGCCAGGGTTATTATTCCTTCACTCATCTTACCAAAGTGCAGCATCATGGTTTAGTCTTGCGTACCTTTAGCGAACTCATGGATCGTGCGTGGATTTACGGAAATTCTCGCAAAAAACCCGATAATTCATTTCACGCAAATACAAATACTAATTAGTACCCAGTATGGATTCTTCTGAGACTGTTGCTCCCGATGATGACGTTGAGTACATAGGAACGTATCCTTGTGATTACAGTAAAGGGACACCGGCACCACAGTTGAGCGAAGCTAGCAAGTAAGTGATGCAGCGCAACAATGCCCACAAAGTACCAATAATATGGTTCCGGCATGTACACGTGCACTTTTTCATTTTTACTACACTATATGGTTTTTATTATCAAACTGAATTATTGCTTTATTGTTTCCCTTTTCTTACCATAATATGGTTACGAATTAGGTTAAGATACCGGGAACTTCAAACAAAAATTATCTAGGTTTATTAATGCCGTTATACTGTACTCAACACAATCGTTTCGTGGTGTCGTTTAATGAGTTGCTCGAATAATTTGATAGGTCAGCACCGGCATCGGCTTTAGCGGACCATGCCATTAAACAAGAGCCGCCACAGGAGTTACCCTCGTGGTTCGTGAAAACATACATCGACGGAGGATTACCATCACAAGGGTACGTGCTGAAACTGTTGTAAATACCGATCGCTACGACAGTAAACAATTACTTATCCGTTAACATACATACAAACACATGCTGTCGAGCCCTTAATAAATTTGTTGGTACAAATTGTGTCCCTCAACAATTCGTTGCGGCTGTCTTCTAAATGCTGAAATCATTATGCATTCTGTAGCGATAACGCACCCACAACAAACCTTTGCGGGTTATTTTCTATAGGCGATTTCTTTATTAATCAACAAGCAGGAGTTGTCATTCTATATATAAATGTTGCAATAGTTTTCGACTGGTAGAAATGACACCGGCAACAACCATTTAATTAATTCGGTTTTTATGCAAAAAACATTTTTGCTCACTGCATTCGGCGGACACATGCCGGTTTGCGTATGGATGGTCACTTTAATTTTTGACAACTTTTGCATTACTGACAACTTTTGCCGCGCGCAATGGAACTGTATGACGCGTTCAGCCGTTGCGACGCGCCTCCGTGTGAAATCCTGATAAAAGACTTTTTTTGACATTAGTAATGATGTTATGTGTTATTCTTATGTGCGCGCCCGTGCGCGTCTGCTGTGAGAATGAAGCTGTTAACCGTTTAATGTTTTCTGTTTATTAATCGAAATGATTAATGAACATAAATTCGAAAGATAAAGTAATTAAAGCATTAATTCCGCGGTTTTGTTTATATACTGCTGTAAGTTCAGCAGTAAGTACTACAGATAAGAGCAGACCGTTTCAGTTTTGTGCTTAGAAATCGCTTTAATTTACAGATACATTCATTCATTTTTTGCAGCAATTAATCTAATCGGTTGTTATTTCATGTGAAAAATTACGAGTATGTGCACTTAATCACCTACAGTGTCGTAGTCACTTTCTAGCTGCTGCAAAATACGAGCACATAAGCCAGGAAGTCGTATCGCTGTTATTGTGCGTACTCTTCTACGTAGATCTCTCACCAGATCTGTGAAGGTGATTAATATAATATCTATAATATACAGGTCGATCGCACCAAGTGTGGGCAGTTGAGTAAAATAATTTGAAAAATAATTCTGTAAACAATTTTGTTGTTTACTTTCATCTTATTTAGTGCAACTTTTTATTGCGGATCCAGTGATGTCAAACCTGAAATCTGTTGATGCGTCCAGAACGAGTAGGGCGGGGCTTAATGGGAGAGGGTAGGGGTCAGTTTTTTAATGATTACAACCGCCCTTCTCAAAAATTCAGCATCTGATGTTTTTCAACAAACCTTTTTGTAAACCATGGAGTGGCTTTAAAGGAATTCGTTAACGGGTAGCAAAAGATTCTGGAGTGCACAGTGCTCTGTAGCAAGCTTAAAACAAAAGTGTCTCCCATAGACTTATATGTTAAAAGCTACCATCCGAAGAATGTGGTTGCCTAGAGCGCGGATCACGTTGGGTCAGATGTTAATGGTTCAAAGGACGTGAGAAAAAGACCACTAGAAAACCACAATAATCTTTGGTAGTTCTCACGCATCCAAAATTTTTAAAAAAATTATTGACTGGACATGAATATTTCCTATTAAGCTGTGCGAGTTTTGGGGCAAAAGTGAAAGTAAAAATTCCGCTTCTGTTCCGTGCGTATTAACTTCTGCCGCAGAAATATGAATAAAAACGTTTCTCTAGAACACGAACTATCATAAACAAATAAGAAAACGATTATGTGGTTCAACGGTAGCAAATGGAAATATTTTGTTACTGCCCACACTTGGTGCGATCGACCTGTATAATGAAATATCTGTTAATAGCTACTTATATGCTTGTATTACGTATATACGGATATAAAGATACATAATGATGCATACTGAGCCTTATGCATAATTGCTGTATTAGAGGCAGATTTCATAATAGATTATTAAGGGAAGTGGGCCGGTACATGGTACCAAATTCGTGTACGTGCACGAAAACTTACACTTTCGCGCACTCCCAAACACATTTTTTTTCGGTTTATGACGTTTTGTAACCAGAAGAGTTGTATACGCTGGCGTGAAAACCGTTTGTGCGCGCCACATCCGGTTCGGGAGTTATGGCTGTTACAAAATTCTAAAAAGTTTAAATGCGTTCAGGTGTACCAAAAGTCTCATTATAGACCGATCTCTCTCAAATTATGCACATAAATGCGCATGCCCATGAAGATCGTTTCTACACCGATTCACTGTTCTAGCATGGTTTTCAAATTTTAAAATGAATTTCAAAAACTTTAAATTTCATTTTAAAATTTGAAAAAAATCATGGAAGTCTGGATCGGTGTAAAAACGATCTTCATGGGCATGCGCATTTATGCGCATAATTTGAGAGAGATCGGTCTATAATGAGACTTTTGGTACACCTGAACGCATTTAAACCCTTTGGAATTTTGCAGCAGCCATAACTCTTGAACCGGATGTTGCGCGCACAAACGGTTTTCACGTCAGTGTATACAACTCTTCTGGTTACAAAACGTCATAAACCGAAAAAAAATGTGTTTGGGAGTGCGCGAAAGTGTAAGTTTTCGTGCACGTACACGAATTTGGTACCATGTACCGGCTCACTTCCCTTAAGAATGAAACGATCAAGAAAAACCTAATCTTTTAAGAAATAGCAAGCTTTATAGAGATTTATCCCTATATACTATTTTATAGGGACGAGCCTCTCTATAAGGTCGAAAGTGCTGCAACGCATTATAAATTAAACCGTACAACATCACATTAGGTTAATGGAAAGGGAAGCGGCAGGTCACCTTATTTTCAGAATAAGGATGCATGTGCGTGCATCAACTTGATCATTTTCGTTTTAAAAAGTGAAGCAAAGAAAAAGATTTATTGTTAATCAAATTATGAGATAAAGTGTTTAAGTGTATGCTACGGAGCTTGACACATAGACATTTTGGTTTAAATGTGTGGAACTTAGCGGCCGACAGATGCTTGTCAGCTGAAATTAGTTTTTTCTGGAAATAAAAGTTGTGAAACCATGACTTGTTGACGAATGAGATAAATTATAACTGCTAAGGCATTATCAGTCAGTGATGTAAGCGATCAGGTACCGCCGTGCACACTTGTGAATCTTATGCCTTTTTCTGTTGGCCGCTCATCCGACACATATGAAACTACCGTCTTTCCATATAAATGTTATTAAAAAGCTATATAGTCAACTTTAAAAAAATTAAATTTAAACGCGTCTAGATGTATGACTCGTATTCAGAAGAAAAATCCAACCGGTTTAAATTTCATGCGAATTGGGACTACAGCCGAAATAAAGCGACGAAATACTATAAGGCGGTCTGCGAGCCATTCGCCGGTATCGCTACAGCGAAAGCAATCGCTGTTATGACAATAAATTTAAATGTTTTATGATTGCTTTGCAGGACGATTTCATTTCCCATATCTGGACGCCTGCAATGCATTTTCGCTATTACAAATTAATTTTCACCAACCGAAAATTTGTGATAGCGAAAATTACTGTTGATTAATAAGTAATAAAATACGATTAAACGTTTACACTGGATCTCCTTGCAGCAGTGATACCCAGTTAGAATACCATGACTCTAGCCCATACTCGGAACGTGACCAATTTGCCGATCTTCCGGAGGACTTCGACGTTACGAACCCGCAATACGGAGACCCGTTTCCCGTTTCCTGCTTTGACGAAAACCAGGACGCATCACCTGATAGCGGCAACGTTGGTGAACAGCGTGAACAGCGGGAACAGTAGGTTCCCAGTTTGATAATACGCATTAGCATTATCGGATTTGTTGAACAAATTGTAAAAGGGAGGTCACCACGATTCATGGGCAGAGCCGCATTTTTATGCAGATAAGCCTCAACTTAAATCTGGGAACAAAATGCTTATCACATACGGTATTCATACAAAAATTACATATTTTGTTGGTGGGTGACCTATAGCAATTTTTGAGGAAAATTGCCCAAACCTGGCGCGTTATGGCTGTATGTAGTACTATGTACTTATACGTTGTTTTTGTTTAATATTACAATAATTTAGGGGCGACAATGGCAAAGATCAAATTTACCATCGTTCGGCTTCCCATGCATCGATTGCGGAAGTGAGCAACCAATACCGTTTGCGGCTATCGAAATCGATGATGGTTATGTGGAGGTGGTTATGGAAATCGACGCTGCTGATGACGAGGAGAATTTCGTTAAGACAAGGTGCGAATCACTAGCAACATTTTCCCCAAACTAAATATTGACTAATTAGGGCTAACGTTTCGGGTTTTAGAAAAGAAAAGTTAATCAGTTTTTGTATGAATGTGAAATCCGTTTCATTCGAGAAATGTCAAAACGCCGTCTGTTTCTGAGATTAGTGCCATTTCCCATTTAAATTTTTCTATACATTCTGAAAAATGAAGCTTTTGAATCAATAATTCAAATTACGGCAACCACGGTATACAGTTTCATCGATTGCAGTTTTGGTTCGCTGTGGTTTTACAAACCAAGACCGGCTCTTACATCCAAACAACGTAGAACGTTCTGTATGGACATCATCCAAAACGACTACGACGAGACGAGCTTGGTGGTACCACTACCACGCGCTCCTGGTGGATTCCAAAACCATGCAAGAGATGGGATATTTTTAATCCGATTGGGGGAAATGGATAGCCACCCCGAACTGCGACCTGATGGCGCTGGCGTTTGGAAATATAACGGTCGATTTGGACCTGTTAACGGCGTCAAAACACTGTACTTCTACAATGAAACATGCGAGTCGTTTAAAAAAACGCTCTACATCAATACGCAAAATCGGCTTGCCGTCGTGGATTGCCGGTGGGATAAAGATTGTCAGCCAAAACCATTCATGGTTCCTGCCCACGGCAACTCCATGAATGACTTGCCGTTCAACGGCACAACAGGGCTGTCACGGAAAATCATCGAAGAAAATGTTTCCGGACAAAAGCGCTTGGCTGTGGAGGAAATTGTAGAGGTATCAACACAAGCTGCCATACAGGGAAGTTGCAACCCTTTGTCACTACCGCGTGACAAACGGCAGGTCAAGCGGGCCAAGATTACAAGCAAGAAATCGGAGATGGCAGACATCATGACAAAGCTGTGTCTTGAAGCTGACGTGTATTTCCATTGCACTATGATCCGTTGCAAGAATCGAAACGACAGAAGAAAACACCTCATTCCAGTCGTCTGTTCACAGTCTCAAGCACTACTTGCGAAGACATTTGCTCTTTCGGGTAAGAGTAAGATTTTAAAGCACATAACGTTATACCATTTTAGTGAGTGCGCCTGTTTGTTTGAAGCAAATTTGACCATATTCACAAAGCCACAGCAAATGAGCAAACTACAGTGGGCTTCAAAAAGGTGGTACTTTCGGCCCAGGACATTTAATAGTCACAATCAATACTTGCCGTTCTTTTTTAACAGTTTAATTCGGTTTAATTCGGTGATGTGGCGCGCCGGAGAAGGGAGTCTGAACTTTGCAGTAACAGGTGAATTTGTATTAATTTTGTTGCGGTGTTAATTCGATGAAAGTTATGGGAGAGTATTGTAAAGTCTACGTTATGATCGGCATCCTTGGTAAAATTTTTAAAGGAGCACCAGACTTTGGAATGCAGCAACAGAAAATTTCAACCAGCTGTAACCACCTCCACATTTAAAAGATTCTGACTGCTATTCAGTTAAAATTAGATTGGAGAATTTCCAGGCAAAGATGATGACTATTCATTTAGCTACTGAATTGCGAGTTACGAGTTCCACCTAACGAGCTTACAATCATGCTTTTTGTAGGTAGCGGTGAGTTGATCTTATCAAACACAGCGCCCTTTCGTCAGTGTTCGCTTGACATCTTATACGACGACCACAAGTATCGGACAGTCTTACGTTCATTGTTTGGTGGGGACATTAAGTCAGACCCTTTGCTTGACCGTCGTACTGCGTTGGGAAATTGAAACCTGAACCTGTTAAACTGCAAACGTCCTTCGAGGAGTCGCATCTGTCGGTAGACTTTAAACAATACTGGCGCTCAGCTACCGAGCCAATCAGCGGCGGAAAGGTACAGGCTGCTCCGTCAAAAATGGGAGTCAACATATTCCTGGCTGAAGACCGAAGTGGCGGGTTTCACCGTGTTAAGTGGATGGAGAATGATCGGGCAGAGTGCAGCTGCTCCACGTTCAAAGCTAAGCAATTTTGCGCGGATATAATGTCAGTTGCGCATTTGAAACAGCGAATGCCGGAATTCTTAGCTAATGCAAGAGATAGTTTGCCGGCATTTCCAAAAGTTATAGGCCCGACATCGGAAGGAAAGGGTAGAAAAGGTGGTGATAAGCGTAAAGGTGACAGAAAGTTGTCTCAAGGAGCAACAATGCGGTCCGGGCTGGCTGCTGTCGGGGATCTTCCACGGAAACCAGATCACCCTTGCTCGTCAAGTGTACGAAAATTATGTCGGCGGCATATCTGATATATGAATAACAAACCAAGTTTTTACTTACAGAGTGTTGTGGTGGATGCTGATGATGACGACAGACAAGTGCGAATGTTCAGTACACGGTTGGCTGATAAACCGGTTGGTATTTTTAAAAAAATTATGTTGTTCTTACAAATGCTTCTTTTTTATCGCATACTGCTGTTTTGCTCATTAGGACAATGAAAGCGGTCAGGCGAAGCGAGTGAAACTATCCAGTGTGCGAGCTACTTCCGGATCGGTAAGCCTAGTATGACGCGCGAACTTACTTCATGGTATTTGCGCAGTTATCGTGCCGTATTTATTCTAGCGTGGTTAACCCGTAATACCAGTATACATGCGAGTAATATGCAATGAATATCAAAGCTGTTCTAGCAAATTGCATGGTATTTTATTGTATACTTCTATCCAAAATAGGAAAAATAATACAGCGGCGGGGTACACTAATCGCGCTAAAATACTAACTTGCAGACTGCTCCACTTTTGAAATCTAGTAATTTAATTTAAATGTTGCAGCATCCTCAACTGCAAGAACTGGAAGCTGCTGAGCAAAAGCTTAAAAGAGAAAGGTCACCAGGTGAGCCTTTTCGCAACACGTTTAATTGTTCAATCAACCATTAGCTAAGAAACTAAATTCTGTTATTTAAATATTAGTAATAGTTGTTTAATTCAAGCTATTCAGCACCTGCCTTTCGCAACCAGAGTAACGACTATGGTATTATTCTCCAGAAATATGCAAAAAATTATAAGCGTTTCTTTATACTTTACTCTACGTTTTAATTTTAGGGACGCACCGCTAAGTTCAAATGAATATTAGTTATTATTCATTTTTCCGTTAATTTTTTCACCAATTTACCATTCTCGTAGGACCGTGTCCATGTTGCGCTGCTATTACCGGAAGAAAACTGAAGCCATGGCAAATGGGTGACCAGCCTTTCATCATAACCAGAGATAACTCCATTCACGAAAATACCGTTTGTCCTGGTTGCCGCCAGAAGTTTATCGACAATCCTCCAAAACAAAATCTGATAATTATGCGAAAATAATTGGACTATGTCAGCGGGAGTGGCAGCAAAGCTATTATTAAGCAGCCCAAAAGTCGGAAGTGCTGTTTGAAAGTTTCCTACATTCAAAAGCGGCACCCAAAGTTTTCCCTGCCATTCGCAAATCAGCTGGACGAAACAGTGCGTTTTACACCAGAGGAACTGAAAACTATCGTAAAGTTTCGCGGAGAGCTATTTGACAACAGTTAATTTTGTTACTTTAGTTTGTTCAACTGCTTTGCAGCGTACATTGTGGTCATAATTAATTTCCTTGTTTCTTGTGAGGTCACTTACGCTGCCGCTTTTTCGCGTACGTTGTTTGTCACAGTTGATTTCCTTGCTTTTTGGGATGGTAACCTACTTTGTCGCATATTAACTAGCTATGTACACTTACTTTGGCTTTCTTGTATTACAATTTCTTTTTGCTGCATAAACTTGAATACCATAACAGGTAAATCAAGGAAGACAAGTAATAACTGGTATTTCGATGTGGAACTTCTAAAAGTTCCGGAGAACAAGTGTACGCCATAGAGAACCTTTGTTTTCAGCTTTTATCAGAAGCAGAATAACTCAAGTAAGAATGAACTGATCATATGTACGAACTTAACCTACATCTGATAATTCAGTAATCGCCTTATTTCTATTATACCGTACCATTTTTTGCTGCTTGATACGCAACGCTGGAAGCATGAAAAGCAGAGAAAACCACTATATATTAAGACCTTATACTGTACAGATACTGACAAAAATTGACATACTCATACAGTGGACTGCGAAAAGGTGTTACAACGCGCGCAACCAGGCACTTTTCTGTACTCTAACAGGCAAATTCGGAACTGGCCATCGGCCTGTTGATATTAACACTTGCTCCTAGCGCATTTCCCAACGAAAACCATCAATCGATATCTCAAAAGAAAGAGAAAAACATTTCAAGAATTTTGATACCATATAGGTTGTTCTTAGTGAGATCTAAGAGAAAATCCACCCACCTAAAGTTTCTCGTAGACATAACATAAGATTTGAATGCACTGTTTGTCTCCAGTTCTCAGTGATCTCACACAGAAATCGTATGCTTCGTCTACGACAAACTAAAATGGCTCGATTTTCTCTTAGACCTCATAAAGGATGACACGTTTGGTATCAAAATTCTTGAAATTTTGTTCTCTCCCGTTTGAGATATCGGTTGATAGTTTTCGTTGGGAAATGCGCAAGATGCAGGTGTTCAAAGTCTTGCGCGTTTCGCGTTTATTGGTCATTTGGTCTCGGCCATTTACTTTTACTGGTCATTCGGTCGCGGACCGAATGTAACAGGTTTTTACAGTCCACTGTAATATGAACTTTCGAGAAGCGCTCAAACAATTGTTTTTACAATTTACAGTAGTATTTCTACACAAGAAGTAAACCGGCTGTCTGCATATAGTATTTTTTGCTATTCCAGAAGAAGCTTTTCAAATAACTGCGAATTTTGCTCCCTACGATGTATGAAATACTTTCGATTTTTCACCGCATAAAAAGTTTCCTTCCTCATTTTGACCACCGAAATTTCCTTCCTCTTTTCGACCAAAAAACATTCCTTCCTTTAATTATTCCTTCATCTTTTGACCACGAAATTTCCTTCCTTTATTTATTCCTTCCTCCTTTTGACCAAAAAACATTCCTTCCTTTATTTATTCCTTCCTCTTTTTGACCTTGGCCAACTGCTGTCTGCTTTAAACGCTTTTTTTTGCGGCCGTTTGTCGTAAAGGGAAGTGGTCCGGTACATGGTGCCAAATTCGTGTACATGCACGAAAACTTTCACTTTCGCGCACTCCCAAACACATTTTTGTTTCGGTTTATGATATTCTGTAGCCAGAAGATTTGTTTACACTGGCGTGAACACCGTTTGTGCGCGCAACATCCGGTTCGGGAGTTATGGCTGTCAGAAAATTCCAAAAAGTTAAAATGCATTTAGGTGTACCAAAAGTCTCATTATGGACCGATCTCCTTCAGATTTTACACGTAAATGCACATAACCATAAAGATCGTTTTTACACCGATATACTGTAGACTTCCATGATTTTTTTCAAATTTTAAAATGAATTTTAAAATTTTTGAAATTCATTTTAAAATTTGAAAAAAATGCTAGGACAGTGGATCGGTGTAAAAACGTTCTTCGTGGTTATGTGCATTTACGTGCAGAATCTGAGGGAGATCGGTCCATAATGAGACTTTTGGTACACCTGAATGCATTTAAACTTTTTGGAATTTTCTGACAGCCATAACTCCCGAACCGGATGTTGCGCGCACAAACGTTTTCACGCCAGTGTAAACAAATCTTCTGGCTACAAAATATCATAAACCGAAACAAAAATGTGTTTGGGAGTGCGCGAAAGTGAAAGTTTTCGTACATGTACACGAATTTGGTACCATGTACCGGCCCACTTCCCTTAAGTGAACGTACGGCAGCCATCATTCTTTACCAGTATGCTACTCGGAAAGAGCGTCTTACTAATTGGCCTGATCGCTATGGAACCGTCTTGGACGGACGGCTGTCCGCGGTCCGCTCCGCCGCCGCCACTCCCGCCCTGGGAACAAGAGCCTTATCATAGTCAAGTGGCCCAGTGCGAGTTGGCTAATTACGTCTATCAACCGTACGCCAGCCACGATTTTGACTATGCTCGATATCTCAACTGCATGATCAACACCTTAACAAACGGTAATTTAAATCACTCAGCTTTTTATACAGAACTTTCCGTCGATTTCAAATACAGAAATATTTGTCTGGTTTGACAATAATGTATAGTACATGAAGGCCTCAGTGTCCCTGGGACACGTTAAATGTAATGTTCTGCATGGAAATAAAAAGCTGTACATATAGGTTATAACCGTCATATGTTTTTAATTTATTTATCACGAAAGGGTTAGTTTGGTTTCTAACAAAATTATTATTGAAATTACTATTTGCTGAAACGGGCGCTGATATTTTTCTATTAAACTCCGGTATTTTTGCACATGGCACACCTGTTCTGGTGCAGGATTCAGGCCGATGACGTAAACTGAAATGACAGTGTATTGAATGCTGCGCATGAATAGTATTTAATGATATACTCTGACGTCATCCCTGTATATGTAGATCGCTTGCCATCGTCCCACAAGCAGTTACACGTTGAGGAAGGCGCCACGGTGAAAGTCACCTGCCAGCCACTGGAGTGTCCACCGCGGCATCCACCTGCCGGTGTTCAATCGCGAGCGGACACTGCGCGGCGCGTATTACTGGACCAAGGACGGACATAAGATCGCCGAGCAGATTCACAGTAACATCATGCGAGGCCGCGCGATGACGGTGGAACTAGACCACGATGTGAACATCGTCAATAACGTGCCGGATGGACAACTGTGGATCCACTCCATCAAACTGGCGGACCGGGGCGTCTATGCCTGTGCGTACTTCGACAAGTGTCCCTGGGAGAGTAACGAGAAAATACTCTGGTGTCCGCTACGTGTCGGGCAAGCGTACCACGTCCACGTATCGCCGCAGGGTGAGTACGAAGCGGAACATAACAATAAGGTGCACAACTATCGTTAATAACTATCACAGAAAGGCGGAAGGTGGTGGCTGTAAACAAGACCGCGTCCGGTAAAATTCCCTAATTAAATAGCGCTTTATACACAACATGTTCAGTCGCAGTGTCACACTTGCAACCCCTTAACGACAGCCAGTATTAAGGATATTACCATGATATCATCCATCTGCAAACCCATTTTTATAATGATGTAAAAACACTAATAATTTACCTGGATTTCTTTTATTTCTTCAAAAAATTTTCTAAAAAAAGTTATCTCTTTTTTTATTATTCTTCTTATATCTTTCTTTTACTGAATTTATAATCCTGATTAATTATCAAGAACGCGCGGCTGCTTGTCCACAGCCTAAAGTTAATCTGACATATCACTGAAACGGCGTTTAGTTTTACGGGTCTAACAAGTGCCATTTTAATACATTAACCACAGTCAGTAACTATTGTCAATGTCGGTAATATAGGATTACACGCAACGAATGTGGACGGCGGAGGAGTTGACCAGTTCTCGTGTGAGCCAGTTAAACCACCCCATCCGTCATGCGCTGAGTCTGCTGGCGGCATCCCCGAACTCACTCATGACCAATTGTAATGCGATCCCGCGCTACAGTTCTTTTGTGGGATAATAATTTATTTTTTATGCTTTATACGTTGGCTGATTTGTCACTCATTTTGGCGACTGGCCTGTTGCCTGTTCTGTTTTCTGATTCCTCGGTCTACGTACATATCGTTAATCGTAAGAAGAGATTACGTCCAAAGTTGGGACAGGATTCACATTTGGTTGAAACTACGGTTACTCTTATTTTCAAAAAGAGCCAAGCGCTGACCATTGCTCTATATTGTCCATATAATTTCATGTGGCTTTTCCAAATGAGCATTATTTTGATTGCACCAACAACTCTACAGCACCGTGTACGTCTAAATTAATATTAATTTTTATTGCTAATTTTGCAAAATATTCTATCGTTTATTAATATTTCATAAAAATTTATGCTGATGGAGGATTTACAAGTTTACAACCAGATGCTACTGCTTTAAAATTATTAATTTTGTTTTCAGATATTATTATATAGTACATATCATTTTATTAGGTTCTGCGGTCTACCGGTACATGTACTGTGTACATATTTTTTATCTAATCATCTTAAAACTAGCAAACCAAACCAAAGCGTTTTTATAATATAAGGTACAGTTAGGACATAATTGTATCTGCACGAGTACAAAGTATACGAGGGGATGACGGTATCCCATTTCAGCACTCCCTGTACTTGCTGCCGCAAGCCGGCTGGAGTTTGACGTTTTGGCTAAAAATGGTTCTTATGTACCGCGCCAGATTTCGCAGTAGGTATTGCCGTAACGTCACACTCCAGGCGGGCGACGGCAGCAGTACAGTGGATTAGTGAAATGCGTCGTATATTTAATTTTTTGTTGGGATCAGGGTCGGTATAATGGCTATAATCCTAATAATTGTGTACTTGGTCCATCATGGCATTTGGGTGGCTCGCGTCCACCGTATGTAAACATGTAGAACACTGCCGGCTTTCGACTTACATAATGAATGTAGTATTAAATATATTGCATTACGCATTACATTACATTATATAGAGGGAAAAGTGCGTCTAGCCGAACCAGTCCCTTGTACTTCTGATGAAAGCCAGCTGGTGGTTTACGTTGTGGCTGCACAGCGTTTTATGTAAAACGCTGCTATTAAGGCTGTGCGGCATTGACGGTACATGTGGTTTTAGTTGCACCAGACAGGTCCGGGCTAAAATGCAGTTTTAGCCTGTTTACCTGCAGTTGTACGAGTGCTGCTTACCTGTTACCAGTACCTGCAATGAGCTATCTTAATAGCAGCGCTTTACATAAAACACTGGTTCGGCTAGACACATTTTCCCCCTATATACATTAAATATTATGTTACATACCTATATTATATTATACTGTGGTGCCAAGTGAATTTCGCACTTTTTCGTACAGCATGCTAGGCAAGCGCTGTATGAACGGCTTCAGTGGGTTCACTGTTTACTGGCTGATGAACTGGCTGAACAAGCAATTTAAAATAATTCATATTTAGTAGTGCGTGCGAGTACGCAAAGCAATTCAAACCAAAAGCTGAACAATACGTAATACAGTTCGCAAGTTTTGTAAACATAAATTGTAAAAATATATTTTTGATTAGTTCAAGTCTATAAATCTTGATGGAGAGCCGTTTTGAAGCAGGAACGATTTTTCGAAAGTGAACAACGCTCGGCCCTTTACTACTGGCAGCCTGACGCTGTTTGGCGCGTTCGGCGAACGCTGAACCCCATATACACCTCTACAGTATCACGCTTTACGAAATGGTGCGGAATTTACTTGGCACTACAGAATTACATTATAAATTATATATATTATATACACCAGATTACATTACGTTTCTTATACACAGTATTTACGTTGCGCATGTATTATGCATGCGTAACGTAAATTTATAAGTAAGTCAGCGTAATTACGCCGGTAGTATACAAACGTTTCCGGTTCGATTTGCGCCGCCTTTGCACATGATCACACAACTTACACAAGTAGTCACACTTGAAAGACCGAACTGGAGTACAACGCATGTGACCGATCACAAATGTACCTGCCAGTCGGTCTGTGGTACAGAAATCTCATTAATTAATCAGTTCAGAAACAGCGCGCAACGGGATAACGTATTCAACGCATCCAGTGCGCATAAACCACCAGGCACCAGCAATGCGTGCTTTAAAAGAAACGCTTGTAATACGCGTTGAAACGTCTGCTTTGTTGCCTGCTCATTATCAGTTTAACGTTAATTAGCTAATAGTATAACGCTGTTTTATGTGTTCTAGCAGAGAAGCCCGTTCATCATCTGCCAACTGCCACTACTCCCACGGTGACTTCCACGCCACTTCTCACCAGCACTCCCTCGACGACTCTGGCCAGTGCCACCAGCGCAGCTTCCCGTTGGACAGTTATCCCGTTGGCCGTTTGGAATGCCGTCGCCTGTTTGCTGCCGGCTACCGTTTCTCCATTAAGCCCATGCGGTATGAACTGTCTTTTGGACAACGCTTGTTACTGTTATCCGGCTACCTTGCAGCTGTGCTAATTCCTTACCACTCATGTGTTGGAATACAAGTAAATTTAATGTTTTGGCAACTAGAAAAAGCCTTAACAATAAACTCGTTACCGGATCAATTTTGGATAAATGGTATCTACAATTCGGCATAATAAAGTAATCAATAATAAAACACACTGTAAATATTATAAGTCTATCTGTATTATGTGCACCAAAACTGTTCTAATGCAGTCATTTCCGCAATCAGACATAGCCAGTGGCCGCCAAACACTCTTAAATAACGCGCTATGCAAAACCACTTGTTGATGTTTATAGACACTGCCAAAACTGAGGAATTTACCAACCTTTTTGACGTCTCAACGGTGAGAGTGGCCAACGAACTGTTTAGCCAGCCGACTGCGAATTACTCGCTTTCAATTACAAGTAAGAAGAAATTTACCAATAGTATAATGCCGTCGCAGGAGCCCATCTTAGCACGGAGTGCAATTTTTGTTAGGCACACCCGCGCATGTCGACAATGGAGACGCAGCCGGAAAATTCTCGTCAGTCAATGACACACAGAATTCGTCAATCTCGACGGGCGACGGCACTATCTCGCCCGCGTCCTTCTTGTCCACAAACTGGTCAGGCAAATTTCCTACGAATGACTCGCTGTTGGAGCTGAGTGCAGTCCCGACTATGGGTACCTATTCTAATTTTGCATTTTTTATTACTCATTTCTGGTCACTGTACGTATGCATTTTTGTCAAATGGTCACACAGCGTATTCTAATTTACAAACATAAACAAATTTTTAGATGTACTGAGTGTCAGTTTCTTTTGCAGCACATTGCTGATCACTGAAACATAATTGTGGCACTGTCACCGCTCGCGAAAGATAGAAATTTTTGTTACTTTAGCGGAACTGTTAAGTAATGCTCCCTTAGGTTCCGGTACAGCCTCTCCACCATCAAACAACGCTTCCCGTTTTGCTGACACTGCGCTCTATCTTGACACAACAAGGCCAAAAATCACAGGTAATTCCCAGTTGAGTAGACTGCATTAAACAGCAGCGCATTTCAGCGGTGTTAAATTTTTTACGTAATACTTTCTCTCATGGTAGCGGATGTAATCAATACTTGCAATGCTTTCGGTTTTTGCTTAGAGCCGGAGCGCCCCTTGGTAATGGGAGGGAACGTAACGGACACTGACACATCCTTGTCCAATGGCTTATCGTCGGCTTCCGCCCGGACCACAGTCAGCACGACTGCAATTCTGGAGGAGATCACGTCAGCGGTTAATGAAACGGAGTACGACACCGATTATGACTGACAACCGGGCGATCAACGCCGCCAGTCGAGTTATCCACCTGAGTGCCCAGCCTGCACCGGCAACTGTCCCTGTCCGCCGCACAAGCGCACACGCAAGCAGCTGCTCAAGGCAATGACATTTGATACTTGATCCCTTGTTGATATTCCAACTGTCTCCGCGCATTTAAATCTACTTCCTCATTTTGTTTTTTTTCTTACGGTCGATACACATGAAAATGTGACGAATTGGCCGATGCTGAGTCAAATAGTTGGTCGTGATGAATTGACAAATTAATTTTGCATTGCAGCAGTACCTGCGCTCCGGTCCAAAACTGAATCAGTCAGTGCATTTCTTTGGTTTAATATCTTGCTAACTGCGCTGTGCGCCCAAATGTCGATGGCCTCGCTTTAGCTAACTTAACCGCCACAGTGTCAGCTGAACCGCTTTTCCTCCTTTCAAAACTGTCTAATTAGTCCTCAAATACTGAGAACATGGTACGGCAGTTCGAACCGTTGCCGAGTAGTAATATTCTCTGTTATCGGCGGGAACTGCAGTATCATCATTTTGGGACCGCACTCTAGGAAACTAGAATAATAATAAGCTGTGGTCGGCGTCCACATTGTAGGATGGAACGTCATCCTTCTGAAATTTAGAAGAAGGCTTAGAAGGGTAATATAACTAGAGAAGTGCACCGCTTTTGGCTAGCACTATTAGACCGAAGCGAAGCCGGAAACTGAGTTTTGTACAAAAATACTTAGGTTATTGTTAAGTGGTATTAATACCCAATAGCCATCAAAATAATAAAAAATTGCAAGCGCTGGCACATTACATCACAGTTAAAAATTAAACATTAAAAAATTGATGTTATCTTATGTTGCATAATGTACCTGGCACTTTAATCGCATTATGTATATTGACGAGCTTCGCTCAATAAAAACACTCAAATAAAGAATTTGTCACAATTAATATGAGATGGGACTGTTGATAATGAGATGATTAATATGAGATGATTAATGTTGATAAAGACATATTGCTATGTTCATTAGGTAGGTATTTCCTATTAACATGTTTTACGGCTGTGAGTGTGGCTGGCAAACAGGGTTGAAGCGATAAATGATCAAATGGTGCATTGGATCAGTCGCCTTAATTCCGTCGATATGCAGAAGATCAACCGGCTGTACAAGTGCGAGGGTACGTCCGTTCCCAGTGTATACATATTCGCTTCATCATTGTGCATTTTCTAACGGTCGACGCACGTAAACGTCTTAAGTGGTCGGATAAATGCACTAAATTGGTAATTTATTTTTGTAGTGCAGCAGTAGCTGCGCTCGGTCTAACCGTCCAAAACGACCGGTCGTCTGAGACGACCGCCGGTCGTTTTGGCCCCTAAATAGTGTGAAAAAATCGGGGGCCACCAAAACGACTAGATAAAAAATTACACTTGTTCGATGTGCTCGCGAGCGAAAAGGCAAACAAACTGAGTCGGCAAAATATAGGCGGTCGTTTTGGACGGTTACACGAGAGCATACTATTTACAGAGCAGTCCATTCTTATTTCTTGAATTCATTGTCGATTTTGTTTGTCATACAGCTGGCAAAGTTTGTCTAGCAGCAGCGTAGCTGAAGTAAGCGTGCGGTGGCCCATGCAGTACGCTGCTGGAATGAAAATCTTTGAAAATTCGTAACTTTGTTAATTTCCGTGTTGAACTGTTTTGTACATGCTTAAAAAATACAAAATAATGCATACTATCAGGCAGAACAACTGATTTTTTGTTTTATTTTCGGGTTATTCACTGTGAGGCTTTTCTGTTAACGTACCTGTCACGACTTGAAGGTGGCGGCATAATGTATTTATTATGAACCGCCACTGAGGGCGCAAACAACCAACTGATCGTTGTCATCAGGACAACAATGGGACACTGCAACCGCAGTTGCCATGCTGGACAATACAATACATAGAGGTCGCAGCGGACCGCCGCCGGACACAACATTCTCGTGACGTCAGTGCCACTGCACTACGCCACAGTACCTGTCTGTGGAGGACTGATTCGAGGTTTCTCACAGGCGACTATGCTAAGCACATGTGCTCTCAGTGCCAACCTTATGACGAAACCAGAAAATTACTGGTTCTCCTAACAGTATGCATTATTTTGTATTTTTTAAGCTTACACAAAAAACTTAGCACGGAAATTAACTAAGTTACGAATTTTTGAAGGTTTTCATTCTAGCAGCGTGCTGCATGGGCCATCGCACGCGTACTTCAGCTAGCGTATATGGTGGTGATGGTTCGAGCAAAGTATGCATATGTTTTTCACATCGCATTTCGTCGTTTACTATGGTGACAAGTGACAACAAGTCAACGACATTGAGTGGATGTCCCACCTTCTATTTAGGCATGCCTTGTGCAAGACGTGCCTCCAAGCAAAATTTATCGAACTCTTTTGCTTCGCACAGTTCGAAGCTTTTCTTCGCACCAAAAAGTGCGAGAGGTGCGAACCGAAGAAAATGTCTGAAAAAAATTTGCTTAAAACATGAGCCCTCAAACTCCATCAAACTTCTAGAAGAAATCGAGATTACTTATTTGGTAGCACGACAACTCTTTGACCTTCATTTCGCTGACCGACAGTTTGATGACCGACGTGTTGCTGACTACCACAACTTGCTGATCGACAAACCGCTGACCGACAGTTCGCTTTTTTACAAACTGGCTGACCGACATATTGCTGAAACTAATTTGCTGAACGACAGCTTACTTGTCGGTCAGCGAAATGTCGGTAATCGACAACTCGCTGACTGATAATTTGCTCACCAGTTCAACGCACATTATCGATATTTACGCGGAAACTAGAATATTCGTTGGTTTCATAAAAAGGAAGCAATACTATGACAGTCATAACTGAAATATAACTTTTGCTATTTATTACGCCGTGTTAAGTTCACGAATATGTTATTGTCTCAGTCAATATTAAATATTTATTACATTAATAACTGTGAAAAATGTTTTAATATTTACACCGTTTTTTTGGTTTCTTACGTTTCTTAGGTTATTCTTATGTAATTCTTTGGTTTCTTAGGTTTCTTAGGTTTTTTAGGATTCTTAGAATTCTCCGGTTGCTTAGATTTCTTAGGTTTTCTTAGGTTTCTTAGGTTATTCTTAGGTTTCTTTTGTTATTCTTAGGTTTCTTAGGCTGCTTAGGCTGCTTAGGTTTATTAGGTTCTCAGGGTTCTTAGGTTTCATGGTCTTTTCTGTTTCATAGGTTTTTAATGAAATTCACTCGTACGCGCTCGAGCAGAAAAAAGGAGAAACGGAAGAATGGAATTGTCAGATTGCTGCATAAGCCGGCAGCCGTTAATAGCAGGAAGTGGATGCGGTGTCTGGTCATAATCACCCAAATTGAGTTTTACAAGGATTGTAGGGGTGTTAGATTAAATTTGTGTTCAGCAAGTTGTCGGTATCCGTATCTCCGTAAGACGTCGGTCAGTATAATGTCGGTCAGCAATTTAGTAAGTAAGCAACTTGTCGGGTAAACATTCTGTCAGTCAGCAAAATGTCGTCAGCAATTCTTCGGTGTCAGCGAACTGTCGTTCAGCAAAATGTCGTTCAGCGATTTGTTGTTTCAGCAATCTGTCGGGTCAACATTTTATCGGTCAGAAAACAGTCGTCAGCAAGTTTTCGGTCAGCAAGACGACCGTCAGCGAGTTGTCGGTGTGCCACTTGTTTAGTTCCGCCTTGAGCAAATCAGGAGCGCAAAATTTACGGGATTTCCGGTAGAGAGCTGCTCCATCTTGGAGTAAATTTACAACGCTAAACCAAAATTCTACCAAAATCCTAAATATTATTAATCTGCGAATTCGTTGGTGTCACGATCCCACAAATCCGGACCGTCTCGTACTGCTTCGATCAAAATTTCTTCAACCTTGTGCTCTTCATGCAGGAGTGAGCACTTTAGGCGGCATTTAACGCCAAGATTTTGATTAATTAATATGTTCAAAAATTATTTACTGATACAATATTTATAAGAAGACTTTACAATGACGGATGCGTTATCAGACACCGAAACTTTTCATCTCCCTACTGTGCGAAGGCCTTCGCACTTAAAGTGTGGCCGTAGCATTATGCCCGTTTAAGCCACGGCAATTCTGTGAAGTCTTACATCTGTAGTGTACGTATTAATGTGGTGTTGTTTAACGGAGTGTGGTGATTTGACTAGCCGTAGCATATTTGATAGGTCTTTCGTGAATAAGAATATGTGATATTGCCGAATTGTGCTCGGCTTGGCTACTCAATAAACAATCCATCAACAATCAGTATCATGTACACGAATCATGTATGTACAATCAGTATCATGTACACGATAATTCACGAAATTCATATTCAAATAACCGTCATATTTTCTGCATCCGTCTTCTCCAGCTTCCTGTATATTTCCGCTTTTATGCATTGGGTTAGCTAGCGGCTGCAGACAAACTATTGACTTTGTAATGTTTACCGTAATCGCAGAAAGACCAGCGTGTCGCATTTCGTGTAGATTTCCGTCAGTATCGTAGGAAAACTGCAGGCAAACATAAAAGAAAAACTCACTTTTCATGGCTCAACGTAAACGGAGGTTTTACTTTTTGTACCACTTTCGCAAAAACCCGCTTTTCACAAGCTTGCTCGTTCAAACTACAAGTGAAGTGTTGAAAGTTTCGGATAGATACACTTAGCATCGATTTCACTGTGGGAACGGCTAGCTTAAAAACCGGGATTTGCTAGCGTAAAAAGATATGACTTGCATAGCTGCTCTCTTTACTCATCCACCATCCAGAATGTACTCAACAACGTGCCAATAAAAGATATTGTAACGCCCGTTACCTGTATTTGCGTGTACTGTATGTATGCCTAACGGTCACTCCTGTTCGCCCATTCGTTATACATGTATCTGTTCCTCCTACTTGCCTCTAGGCATTTTACATACAGCCATCTCATCGCATGCTGACCGATGGTCATTCCTCAACACTTCACTTTTCCTTTTTCCTTTCTGCCAGTTGATGAATAAAGTTACAAAACGTACAGTTTGCCGGTTTGCTTAGCGTACGCATTCACACACAGACCGTAGCCACACGCTACATTTGGTGCCGAAGACTTTGGTCTGACCGTGACCTTTTTGGTTTTGCTGTTGCGACGACGCAATCCCGTCGCCCGCCGCCGCCGCCGTCTATTGCTCTCCCACCCCGTTGCTCTCCCATCTGTTTTCCTTCCCATCCGGACTGAT